CAACGTGTAATCTCTCGGGTCATTGGTTCCAGTGGTCCTAGATATGGTACCTAGATATAAAGCAAACGTGGACCGATTGTTACCCGGTCTTTTATCGGCGGCGAGATTTTCGTCATCTAGCCGTTTCGTTCACAAATCACATTGTTACGCTGATTTAATCGGAGTTGGTTTGAATGGATCGCAAAGCGTCCATTCGACCGAAATTCCGGAACGCGCGCGCACACACTCGCATTCTGGTACTGTCTTAGCTCGTTGTGACCTGTACCAGCCAATGTCCCGGAATTGGGGAACATCACATCATCAATGTGTTTTACCTCACATAGAAAGAGGATTAAATGTTCAACTGAACACTCACTCACATAAATAACAACCGATATCGCTATTGACCATAGATTATCAGAGAAGAGGCGAATTTGATCGACCACTTTGACCCAATCGTTTTGATCAATAAATTTGCAATTACCATAAGCTTCTTGACAGTTAGTCGAATCTGGACGCACTCTTTCGGATTCCGCTCATGCATTTGTAGCCAGGTCGTTTGTTTATTTTTCTACTACACAATGTCAGTTACAGTAAAAAGGGGAAATACCCATGGAGAAGTAGCATACTGTAAAAGAAAGTGTAGGGGAACATTCACCTAAGATCCAGTTTATTGATTGCGTTTAAAAAGTGTAAGGTTGTAAGTTGGGGGAAAACAGCAAATGGGAGGGTGTTCCACAGCTTGGCAGTTCGGGAAAAAAAGATTGGAGCAGAGAAGTACGGCATCTGTGAACAGAAATCTGATAAGGATGACTAGATGCTTGTGTACGGGATGGGCGGGTAAAAGCTGCAGGGAAAGAAACTGCCGAGGTAAGTTCCGAAGAATAAAAACTAAAGAAATATCGGTAGAACCGGGACAATGAATCAACTGCCCGACGATGGGCTAGCGACTGCAGACTGGATTTTAGGGAAGGTTCATCGATTAGTCGGATGGCCTTTCGTTGAACACGATCGAGAAGGGAAAGAGAAGAGGACGAGGCCCCACGCCACACGTGAATACAATATTCAAGAGCAGGGCGGATTTGAGTTTTGTACAATAGAAGAAGACGAGCTGAAGTAAAAAGCATCGTCTGGCGCGAAATAGAAATCCAACCTTGCGCGAAACACGAGAAGTGAGCTTAGCTGTAAAAGGGGACCAGCATAAAGAAGGAGTTATAGGCAATCCAAGAAGGGAAACAGAGTCTGTGGAACACAGTTGGGTGGAATTAAAAAATAAATGGGGAGGGGAAAATGAATGATGTTTTAAAGAAAGTGAAGGAAGAGAAGTTTTAGAAATATTGAATGAAACATAGTTTGCGAGTCCCCAGGAGATGTGTTCGAGATTGGTGTCCAGTGACACATTAACTGCACTACGATCACCATCGATGTTGTTTTGGGCATGGTGAGCAGTGCGGTAGGAGAGGGAGCAGTGGAGGGTGGCGTCATCAGCAAAAGAGTGGATCTGGTTGACAGTTTTGGAAAGAAAATTATTGATGAATAGAAGGAAGAGGGTGGGCGCAAGTACTGAACCTTGGGGAACACCAGCGTTCACATAAAATTCCTGAGATATAACCCCATCAACTCGGACGGAGATGGTTCGCTTACTGAGGAAACTTGATATCCACGCTACGAGCGCTGGAGGGAACCCGAACATAGGTAGTTTCGCCAGTAGATCTTCGTGCCAAACTCGGTCGAAGGCCTTTGAGATGTCAAGCGAGATCAAGTGTGTTTTCCCGTAGTTATCGAGTGGAGCTGACCAGGATTGTGAGACAAGAGCCAGAAGGTCACCGATTGCTCAGTAGGCCTTGACATTCAAGGAACGTGCGTAGCTGGTCAGAGATGATAGTTTCAAGTACTTTCAGAAGAACAAATGTGAGGGAAATGGATCGGTAACTGTTGGGGTTAGAAAGGTCGCCGCTTTTGGGAATGGGAAAAATCACGGCGTGTTTCCAAGAGGTTGGAAAGGAAGAAAGTTGGGGGGAGACTGAAAAGACGGTGCTAAATAGGAGCCAACTCTGGAGCGCACATTTTGAGAACGATGGGTAGAATACCGTCCGGACAGGGTGATTTGTTTGCGTTTAGAGAGCGTAAAGTTTGACGAATTGTCCTAGTGCTGATATGAGGCAGAAAAGTGTTACCAGTAAAGGAAGAAGGTGGAGGTGTAGAAAAATGGTGGAACTGGCGGCAAACTGGGAAGCAAAAACCTCAGCTTTCTCGTGGGGTTGACAAACAAAATTTTTAGACGAATTACAGATAGAGGGGGGAGTTGGAAGGGCAGAAATTATGGGAAACTGCTTTGGCAAGGGACCAAAATGTTCGGCTACCGGTGGCGGACGAAACCAAGTTTTCGGCTTTGCGGCGAACGAAGCGTTCTTTGGTTCTCTTAATGGCCGTGGAGCATCTGTTCCTATCTTACACGAAGTGATGGTGGGAGAAAGGGGTGGACGAGCGGCGACGGTGACGGAAGGCTGAGCGTTTTAGGCGTACCGCACGGCCACATGCATGGTTAAACCACTCAGGGGATTTGGGTTTGCCGGTTTTGGAAAAGTACGGAATAAAAAGATGCATTCCTTGAAGAACAGCGTCTGGGAATTCGGAAACAGATTTGGACACATTCGAAGGGAAATAACAGTCGTTCCGGGGATAAGCAGCTAGGAACTCACGAAAACCGTCCCAGTTGGCTGAGTTGTAGCGCCAGAATGTGTCTCAAGGTGGGTGGTGGCTCGGGGCTTGAAAATCTAATAGAACAAGAAACAATACAGCGATCTGATGAGTCAAGAGGAGAGAGGGAACCAATATCGAAGAGGATTTAAGGGACCGAAGTGAGAATTTGATCGAGGATATGGGCACGATNGACTCATGTGGGGAGGTCAACTAGTTGGCTCAGATTGTTAACCAAAGTGAAGTGTTCAGTTTCGCACTCCAAAGGAGAAGTAGCAAATGAATGTGTCAACCAGTCTTAATTGCCAACGTTAAAATCTCCCGAGATGGTAACATGACAGTTGGGGTCGGTTAGAAACAAGTGTTCAATGTTCGAAGATAGAAAATCAAAGATAGAAGAGTCGCCACTATTGGGGGGGGACGATACAGAACACAAAAGTAATGATTAAAGGAAGGAAGTCGGATTTTCAGCCAAATCAGGTGAAATTCACGATTGGGAAAGTCAAGATTTGGGATGCTGGAGGCGGCGGCTGATTGGTGAATAAAGGCGCAGACACCAGCTTTGGGTAGAAAGAACGAATGGAGAATGTAGTTAGGGAATCGAAGGTGGTTGGTGTCTGACGAAGGGGAGACTTGTGTTCCGGTCAAAGAAAAGAACGAGCGAAGTAGAACGGACACAATGATGTACAGAATCAATATTGCGTTCCGTCTGCGAGTGATGGTGAGGGTGATTAGTGCATAATTCCAGGTTGAGCACGTAGAGGGAGCGAGATAACGTCAGCGTTTGTGATTTTGTGCTGTCATGTTTATGTTGTGAGGAAACCGACAACTATTATCCTGAACCCTGGATTGACGGACCACATAAGGCTTCAATAGATCAGGCATGGTAGTGAGCCGGGCCACGGCAGAACCGCCTGCCACTGGTTTACATGAGGGTGTTGGAGACTTTGGTCTGATCATATGTTGAATTTCGTCATGTACAGGTCAGATTAAGCGAGAACCGAAAAGCTATGAAGCCGCTTCGACCTAGTTCGGTCCCAGATCCTCAATCGTCCTGAATAATTCGTGCACTACTGATGATACTCAATCAAGTTGAAACAGATGTGTACAGGGTAGCCTAGCTAGCTTTTCATTTCACGTCTCATTCACCCTGTGTACCGGACCAAGTTCAAAATTTGGTCATTTGTTTGTGTTAGATCAAACCGGAGAGTTTGCCAGACGACGAGGCAACTAGCTCAACGAGCAGACATGGGAAAACAAAGTAACTAGTGGTCGGATAACTGAGCTCAGGAAAATCGATTCGTACCAGTTGCTGGTGCAATGGTACTTGAATTCGAACTTGAACTCCGCTTCCATCTGATACCTACCGTCAGAGACTCAGGGAGGCTGGGTCGGTGGTAGAACATTCACATCATAAGAGTGAGCATTGTTTCACTGTTGGCTGTGTCGCTTCTGATACAATCAAGTGAATCGTGTGAGGAAAGATAAGACCCAAAGTCCCAAAAGTCACGTGACGCGACGATGAAAATTAAAGACGGGTCTTGGCCCAGTAGACGTATCTAGTGCTGCGGTTGAATAAACCCGACATGAGGCGGAGTTAGCACATTCTGCAGCTGAGATTCCCTGACTGACGGAAAGTGTTTTTTTGATCCACGAGACCGGTTTTTCTGATGGGGGAAAATGACTATATTTTTATTTCAAAAATCCAATGCCAGTCAAACAATTCATTAACCGCATAGCAACTGGGTCATCCGACGGTTCGGAAGATGTGTTAACTAAATACACTAAAATACCAGAAGAACCTAAGTAACATGGTATTTTGGTTCAGTAGGAATGTGTGCTGAGGTGTTCCCGAAAACCTCATCTGGTCAGTTAACATAAAAATAAGATCACTGGTGGATTGGAACTCACGGAATGTCGTTTTTGTGTCCAGGAACGGAGCAAAGAAAAGCAGATGTATCCATGCAAGTGTGTGTGTGAGAGAGAGAGGATGAGTTCTGAGTTCCCAAGGGTGTAACTTGCCGTACAACCTTTTTTCCAAACTGAGCACTACGAACTGCAATGCACAGATAGGTTGACGCTAAGATCCTCGCACTGGACAAAACCCCTAGGTGGGCATCCATCGATGATGTGTTCGAAGTCCTTTTGTTCAGTAGACCGCGTAATAGATTAAAAACCAATGATAGGCTGTGTATTGGTTGAGCTTGTAATCAAATCATGTCCGCTGTGAAATACCGTTATCTTTTGTGGGAAAACAATATTCATTAAGGTACTGATTAGGGGCATAACTCTGGACAAAAAAAGCAATACAAATTCATCCCATGAATGATGACGATGATGATGATGATGATAATGATGATGATGATGATGATGATGATGATTCGGATGATGATGATGATTCGGATGATGATGATGATGATGATGAATATTTGGACGTGCGCGAAAAGAAAATCGAACAAATTCACTTTTCAGGAGGAAAAGCAATTCGGTATGAAACCAAATTGTGCTTGTAGTGTTATATTAAGAATTTCATCTACGTATTTGATACTAAGCGAGGGGTTTAAAACACGGGAATCAAACAGAAAATAGAACAGAAAAGTGGCTAAAACCGTTGCTGCGTAAAGCAGTTTCTAAGGGCAGCATTGACAAATAAATTAAAAGTTGTTATGTCCACTGTATTACCGAGCACCGATCCATAAAAGACGGCTTGATTATCAACTCCCGGAAACCAGAACAATGATACTGAAAAATGCTTCAGGATAATCAGAAATACAAATGTGCGTGTGTGTGTGTGTGTGTGTGTGTGTGGTGAAAGAGAGTATTTGTGTCTGGAGGAGGTTGAAACGGTGGCCATGTGTGGATCAAAGCAGGCGTAAATTTACGAAATCGACAATGTACTTTGAGAGTAAATTCAGCAAAGGAACATTTGGCATAAACTGTTTTCCAGGCCACCTACCAAATGGGCGAATTGCAGACCCTCTGGGGGAGACGGGAGTATGTATATCCGGTTGGAGCTCCCATCCAACCAGGCAGAATGTAGCCTCTCGCTATAGGTGTTCCGGTTCGAGAAGTTCATGTATCAGTTAAGTTTATGGATATTCCTTAATCGTCAAGTTGCTCCAATTGTGAGTCGTTTCATTACAGTTCATTGTTGTTCACCGATAGCCGACAGCTAATCGACCAATCCACTACGGACGTTTGGTGATTCAGGTTTTTTTATTGACCCTCCGATTATTGGTTCACCATGAAGCCAATAGGATGTATGCGTAAACAGTTGTGCATCATCACTTCCTCAGGCTTATTTTTTCAACTCATGCTGATGAGCAAATGAAACGCTAACAGGGGACATGTGATCATGAAATTGTAAGAGTATTCTTCGGTGTGATATACCGTTAATTTAAGCAATTGTGGACTGTGCACAAATTCAGTGGTCCAATTTGTAGTCATTCATATCGAACCATTCGCAAATAGGTATTAGCTATTTACAGATAAGTTAGTTGATTGGCTATGTTAAAAATAAGTAAATAATTCCTTACTCTGGTTGGGGAAAACTTGTGCATGTTCCTCCTTTCTATGACCTCCGAAAAGGTTGATTGATGATGTGCGCTACTTGATCACAACTGTATAGCCAGATGCGATTGGATGAATTGATTTTTCTCAGACTGGTATCCGGTGACTTTCGCATGCACCCAATAGCCGTGCCTGTTTCCAAATCAAAACAATGAAGACTGTCCGATTTCCACCCCATCTATTGCTGTTTATGGTGTCCCGGGGCACACAGTCTCGTGATCCCATCAGATCCAGCTGAGGATCAGTGATTATTGATTCCGACTGATTTGAAAATTTCATTATTGACCTGTTCTAATCTGTATTTTTCTGATATTTCTGAGTTCACATTTTTAGTCTGTACTCAAGTGAAGTTCAAGTCAAGTCACTAGTAGCTTTTCGCACCCAGATGGGTGAATATTCAGCATTTTACATAATATTTGTGGATTCAAATTTACCAAATTATACATAATAAAAATGAATGCATCAGATTGTGTTTGTCAATGAAGCAAGCAATTGCGCAATTCTGTGGAAACTTTCTCCTTGTCAACAAGTATACGTGCTAGATATGACAAACAGAGTTGCGTTATGAAGAGGTACGTGCAAATATAAGTTTGAATCTTGAGCATGTGGATGATGTAGATACAGCTTTTGAAAATTCGTTGTCTAACGGGTGATGAGCGTTGGAGAGTATTTTGACAGTGAAATTTTCACATGCCTGAAGATGTCTGTCTATGATAGAGTCTGTGAGTTTATCCCTGACGACGCCACTATATTTAGAGATGTGTTTCAGAGATCTCACCAGTAAATAGAAATTTTTTCAACACACCGGAGGAAATCGCTGAGGAGCAATACAACCAGTGGGTAAGCAAGCATGCATTCACAAACCTAACAATCAGCTTATGAGGAACGGAAATAATTCTCAATCGGCGTGAGAAATATGAAAGTTTTTTAACTTTATAGAATATGTTTTGAACATACAGTGACCATGATTAGCTGTATTGCCCTCGTGAATGTATCGGGTCAACCTGGAATCATAAACCGGGGCACCGTATGTAAACAAACCGGCTGACTACTCCCGATTGTTTGTCGGCCCTCAGACGATATTTTCTTCCTGAATAAATATAGTATAAATTTATTTTAATGGTATTTGTGACGATTACATGAATTTCTCTACACTTTATTCCTGCACTGATACACTAATACAACTGGAACCAGCGTTCGGTTGACCCACAATGGACGTGGGTCACACACCACACCGAGATCGATTTATGTCTACTCTGGAAATCGAACAATCTAAATTCGAACCGGTGGCAATATGCCATGGACGACATCATGACTCCCTCCAGATTCGAGTGTCATTGTGACTTACAAGTTTCTTAATATCCTTTTTGATCAATCGGCCGTTTGTGAACTGACTGAAAGCTAAGTAGGAACATGTTGTAAGAGGGATACAACATATCGCCAGGTTAACGTGTCTGTCGGAAAATCTTCACTTGAATAAATGAATGTCTTTTTACTTCCTTTTTTATTTATTGAATATACAAATGTACAGTCACTTGTTTGTACAGTACACTTGTTTTGCTGTTTCCACAAACGGCTCATCATATATTATTGAACCCCTGCCTGTCCCCCTCATTCTTGGCTGAAGAAACCTTTTAGTATTGCTGTTCATGTCCTCCAAATGACCAGTAAGGCTACCGTCCCCATGGTGATTACTGTATCTTCTGAATGTGAAACTAATCAGCTTACTGTGAACTGTTACCGAAAATTATTGCTTTAAAGGAACCAAAATGGCGTTTTTCTTGGGCCCCGATTTGTGAATAATTATTAATTCGTTCAAACCAATCTCGCTCTGTTTCGTTCATACCAATCAAATAGTGCTACCCACCATCAGGCGCAGAACCCCTTAAACTTAATTTCTGTACATCACTCTGGCAAGTTTTTCAATCGTTACCGGGGGCTTGGAACCGACTGAACTTGCCGGCTCATAAAGCCTGTCCATGTAAAACCGAATTCATGCACAAACTTATGCTTGTATGGAAAACTCTCTTTTTTATTTCAGAACACCCTCAGTCCGAACACACGCGCTATCTGTGCCATCCCATCAATAAAATCCACGGAGAAACACCACTTGTCCCGTGTTTGCATCAGCTCTGACTCGTTATGTCTAACAGAAACACACGCCACACCGACGAACTGATCAACAAGACTGTGTCGGGCTGAAATCATCCGCTCACTCACTGACGCCCGCACACACACACACAAACCGAGAGAGAGCTGAACTACCTCGTTTCTATCAGTCGTGTGGTCGCCCTTGTTGTCAGTGTTGGAGATACGTAATATGCGGATCTCTGCCTCCGTGTGTTTTGTTCACATCGACCGCCTCGGTGCACATAATCTGTCTCTCCCGACCTAGATGCCATCGATTGGCTGACTTATTCGTCTGGACCACAAACAGCTCGCGGTCCGACATCTCAGCAATGTTCCTGATCAGCTTCGTCTTGATGACCACCATATTGGTTGACCGATTTTGTCAGTGCAACTTGCCCCGCCTCGTGCTTGTCTAACGGTCGGTTATCGTTCCCATTGCATGGAATG